GAAGCCAGCACTAACGATCAGGCAGAATCGAAGAAGGCGACTTCTACGAAGCACACCAGCAGCTCCGAACGATCGCGAACCGCAACGTCAAGTCCGGCGACTACACCTCCGCCGTCGACCTCCTCTCCTCGGGCGCATTACTGCTGCTCAAAGCCGGCCAGGGCGGCTCCGGCGCCGATCTGTGCAACTACCTGATCGAGGTCTACCAAAAGGCGGAGCTGAAGCCCGACGTCGCAAACAAGGCACGGCTAGTGAGCCTACTGCGCGCTTTCCCGCCGAACGAGCCGGGCAAGAAGAAGTTTGTGGGCGGCATTGTGGAGTGGTCAAGCAAACACGGAGAGTTTCCGGCCGGTGACCCGGACCTGCACCATGTGATAGGGAGCCTGTTTGCGGAGGAGGGCGACGTCTACGATGCGGAGCGACACCTCACGTTGGGCACATCGGACTCGGCGCAGGTGCTGAGCGATATGGAGTACGAGTGGTACAGCTCTGACGAGCCGTCGACCGCGCCCGCATACGCCGCACGAGCAGTCTTCCCATACCTCCTAATCGGCAACACGCGCGCCGCCAACAAGGCCCTGCTGCTCTTCTCTAGCAAGCTCTCCACCTCGCACCCAGGCCTAGGCGTGCAGAGCATATCCTCGCCCAGCTCCGACATCCGCATCTACCCATCCCTTCCACTCCTCAACTTCCTCGGTCTGTTGCTACTAGCAGTGCAGCGCGGCAGTTCAGACCTATTCAAGCAGCTTAAGTCACACTACGCAGGGCAGCTGAAAGAGTCAGGGTGGGACGAGCCTCTGGCGCAAATCGGCGAGATGTACTTCGCCATCAAGATACCGTCGCAGAGCAACCCTATGTTCGACATGATGAGCAGCATGTTGATGGGAGGAGGCAATCCGTTTGCGGCGAAGAAGAAGGAGCAAAAAGCTGTCGGGCCGGCTGCACCACCGGCACCGGCACCGGCAGTGGATTGACGTGTATATACTCAGTCAGGAAAGCTACCAGACAGCTACATTGCTGCTTCCAACCCACTAGGCTCAGGTATGACAATGCTCATGTTGACGAGAGGCAGAGCATCGCAAGTATGGCTTCAAAGTCCGGAGATGATAAGGCCGAGCTTTCAGGAGGACGATCTCTTTAGCGGGTATGGCAAGTGAAGATCTACTACGTCGTGCGAAGCGGATCAAGGCAACGGCTGAGGTGAGTTGGCAAGTAACTAGTATAGGCAGGACAAATTTGCGGGCCTCATAGCAACGCGGGATCAACGCTTGCAGCAGGCAGTGCATGGACCAACACGAAGTGTTCCAAACGCACAAAGAAGATGCAGGGACTGCAGAGTCTCTGCTTCTCAACGAACGCTCCCCTCTGCTGGAGCAGGAGGCCGGGTCATCTCGTACGGTCCCTCGGGCGAGCGTCTCGGGTTTCCGGACATTGTGCTCGGCGTTACGAATGTTCCCCTGCACGTAGCCACATATATCAGCAAGCTGAGAACCATGAAGTTGCGTTTTCCACAGCACTCACCGTCCCCACCTGAACCCCCATACACACATATGTCAACACGCCTCTTGACAATCCATACCCTCCGCTTATTGCTCTCACACGAAGACGAAGCCACCGATATCACCCAGCATGTCTGTCAACGGTGTGGCATTCACCACCAGCGACATGTACGTCCAGCATCCAGTCTGGACAGCCGTAGATGCGTACACCATCTCGAACCTGCACCCACCGTCGCGCCCGAACAGTGCAACCCTCATCCACGCGCTCAAGAACTCACGTGACCAGGGACTTCCTGACATCGCGTCCTACCCCGTCATCGGCAAGTTCTTCGCTTTGCAATGCAGAGCGTTGCGAGTCAAGCATGCTCTCGAGCTCGGCACCCTGGGTGGATATACTTCGATCTGGCTGGCGTCGGAGAATCCAGGCCTGCATGTGACGACCATCGAAGTCAACCCACACCATCGCAACGTAGCGCAACAGAATCTGGAGCATGCCGGCGTCGCAGACAGAGTGGACAGTCGTCTCGGCGCGGGCTTGGATGTGCTGCCGCGCCTAGGCAAGGAGATTGCTGCTGGCGAGAAGCCGCGTCTTGGCTTCGCCTATATCGATGCTGATAAGAACAACAACTGGAACTATCTCGACCAGTTGATCGACATGTGCGAGCCGGGCGCTGTCATCTTCGTTGACAATATCGTCGCTGGCGGCGGGCTCGTTGACGAAGCGCAGCTTGGAGATGTAATGGTTTCCGGCGCTAGGGAAGTGGTCGAGAAGGTCGGGAAAGATGGTCGCGTGGAAGGCATGGTGCTGCAGACTGTCGGCGAGAAGAGCTACGACGGCATCCTGATGGTAGTGGTGAACTAGCCAGCTGCAAGGTTCTGCTACGGCGCAATGGGTGGATATGGATCAGCGAGAGCGTGCTGTAGATCCATCGGATTGAACCCCCAATTCTCGAACGTCCACGCTTCAATCTCGTCAAGGTCAAGTAACGGTGGATCGCCTAACTCAGCGACAGCGCCTGCTTTGAGCACTGGGCCAGGTTGCAGGTAACCGAGCATGTTGTGCGGCACCTCACTCGAACGATCTCTGGAGGCCTCTGGCAGTGCTCCTATAGGCGCGTCTTCTTGGCAAGCCATGATCTTGTACCAAGGCCTCGTGACTTTCTCGACTGCCTCCTGCATGTACATTGCTCGGTGGCTCGGGTCCTTCCTCGCCTTCCAGAAGCCGTGAGCTGCTAGCGCAATCCAAAGCTGGCGTTGCTCGCGCCCGAAGCGTATGACCTTGTCGGTAAGCATCTGGATCGCTTCGTCCATAACCCTGTCCGCGTGGTGCTCAATGATCTTGCCAATGGCATTGTCAGCATTGATGTCGGCGGTAGTCGCTACGTGACAGATCGAAAGCGCTGCGCGGAGCTGGTCGTTGCACATGAGCTCCAGGGCATAACAGCCCCGGTTAACTAGCTTCCGGTGCGCATCGATGATCCGTGTCGCGGTGTCGATAATGATCATCCGAGAGAAGCCGCGTTCTGTCATGTTGTCCGCCTGCCGTACCTGTCGGTCATGGAGGACGAGGAGATACTGTCGTAGCCTAAGCGACAGGAGAGCATGAGGAGCATCTGCGCCAATCCCCTCCCAACTGGGTATGCTCTGTATCTGCGCCTCGATCTCCTCTGTGAAGCGCTTAATGTCGTTGAAGGAGAGCGCCTGCCGTATATTGTTGAGGGTGTTATTGAGCCCGTGCCGAAGCAGGACCGAGTCACTGGCCGTGACCAAGTAAGAAGCGTTTGTGAACTCAGATGGTGAGGCCATGGCGGGAAGCTGCTCACTGTCCTGGTCAAGATCATCATCATGAATGTTGCTCGGTGCTGAACAATCGGTTTGCATTGGCCATTGAGCGGAGATCATACCACGATCAAACGCAGCTTGGAGTTCCAGCTCAATGACAGTAGCCCAGATTCGTCGTCTCAGCTCCTTGTCCAGTGCTGACGTCTTCTTCCGTATCAAGTCTGGGTTGCGGTGCAGCCCCGCTGCCATACAAAACCTCAACAGTGTACCCGAGTCGGTCCATGTACGCTTGATCTTGCGAGCGCTTACCATTCGACCGAGCTGCAGCAAACATCGAATCTGGAAGTCGGCCGCAGTGACATGCTTCTGGCTTTGCGTCTGCAGCCAATCGTCGCACGCTTCAACATAAGTGATTGCCTTCTCACGAGCGGTGGAGCTCTTTGCGGTATACAGCATTGGCTGTGTCGACGTGAGGCACTGTGCGGCTGCCATTATGAGCAGGACAATTGCGACAAAATGCGGCCGTGCATCAGCAACGTTGGACCACATCTCGCTATATTCCTTTCGAAAGCTGGGCAGATGCAGGATGTGGTAGATACAGCCGTAGTTGTCCAGATAAAGCTGCACCAGCTGATCCGCTTCATCTTGGGGCGGAAGCAGAGCTTTGAGCTGCTCGCTCGTTATCGACTGAGGCCTCGAGCCAGCAGCATCAGTCCGATCTTCGAGTGTGTGCATGTCTTGTCGTATTCGAGCGAGGGCCGGGAAGCTCTCGAATGTCTCTTTGGTGAACAGGTTAAGGTCCGGTATGTGTGCGATCAGTGCGCCTGGATGGGTAGTGCCATGGAACTGGGTTTTGAACGACTTCCCACGCAATACCATTGTCTCGCGATCATTCATAGAGGCGCCAATCTGCTCAGCTGCACCGACTACAGACTCTGGCGTAAGTGGCAACTTTGACGCTCTCAGACGGTGAGCAGGATCCATGGCCTGCGTGTGCCCGGTATGAGCCAACGCAGCTTCGAGCTGCTTGATACGCCGGTCTTGATATTCGAGCCTTGCCAGGGTGTCGCCGAGAGGAGTTGGAGCCTGTTGAATTGGTCGGCTGATGTGCGCATCGAAGGGCTCTCTACCATCAGATTCTCTCGCAGGTCCTTCCGTTGCATCGTCAATATAGAGGCAGTTGGAAGCCTGGCCGGCTTTTGTGCAACGCCCGCAAGCAGGCATTGCTCTGTCGCATTGGAGCTTTCTGCGCCGGCAGTCATAGCACGAGAGCACCTTGCGCCTCCGCTTGCGGTCACTACCCGCCAGCGTGTCTGGCGATGCCTGACGCCGCGCAGGCGTAATTTCATGCAGCGACGGGTCTTGCGGCATTGTGTTGGCCATTTTGACGGGGGACGAGCCAGTATGATGCCTGCCGGCGGAGGAAGTGAAGTCGGGGTCGAAGCCGCAGATTAGCAGTGTCACGTCGCACGGGAATTGTTCGTAACACGTCAAGTCGACCACGCAATGCCCCGGACGCTCGGGATTGGATTGTTACCTGGCGCGCAAGGATGACAGGCACGTTTCCGATGGCGTATATCAATTGTTGAACGGATAAATCAAAGGCAAGCGAAGCTCGAGCGTGGATGTCCGGGGACTCGCACGAGCGGGTGCGGGGTCTCTTCGGATAGCCATATGCAATGCTATATAGTCGTTAGCACCATTCAACGTCACATGATTGCATCAGTAGTTCAGGGGTAGAATTCGAGCTTCCCATTCACAGGAAGTTGCTCGAGGTCCGAGTTCGAGTCTCGGCTGATGCAGTGAATGCTTGTCTTTTACATCTTGTGGATTGACGTAGAAAATTTTTAACCAACATAACTTTTGACGGGGCAAACATCGAACCCCGATGTCTACCGCTGCTAAACGCAAGTGATTACGACTGTGAAGCTACCGGTGAAGTATTACGCCTGGTGATTTTGGCAGCTGGAATTTTGTATAGTTCTAGAGCCTTCTCGGTGGGAGAACGAGACATGGGACGCTATGGAGGTGAGGTTTCGGTCCGGAAGAATGTTCTTCCGGTCCGAACCGGCCTCAGCCTAGGAGGTAGCATTATCATCACATCGAATACGGTGGACTTGCAGCATGAATGAATGAGTGCAATGTGTTACGTTGTCCATAATGACAACATCGATGAGTTCGTCACCGTCTAATGTATAATATCACTCCTCCACGGGCCGCCTCTGCTATCAATCCGGCCGAGGTGGCTGACATGATAGTACATACAGCGAGGTTTCCTTGACCCTGCCTCGACAAGTATATGACATAGGCAAGCAGAAGCCGCGGGCTAGTACAGCCGTGGAAAACCGCTACGCGAGTAGCAAGTACAGTGCTAATGTGTGAGAAAGCAACATCATCCTTGACTCGATCTTACTCATTCACGCAACTGCACTGCCGACCAGTAGACGACGCCTCACTGTCAGGCCGGAGACGCAAGTCGCTAAACTTGAGGCTTCAAAGTACACTATATAGTGTTGCTACGCTGACTGACGGTTTCGAAAAGACTTTGGACGGATTCACACTAATCTGCTACTGTAACTAGGTGCCAACCGCATAGCCATGCGATTGGGAGTGATCTTGAATGCGCGGTAAATTATCCCTTGGCCCAAGGCCCGTCTCACCGACCCGTGAGGACGACACACCACGTCAATCGACAAAATGCAAAAGATAAGCATTCACTGCACTGGCTGAAGGCACGAGACACCTCGACTGAACTTGAATGGAATCCTCTAGCCGAACATCATACTGCTGGGAATCGCTAATGAAGGGTGCAGAGATCTGCACCGGGATCAGAGACACTACACTCTCTGCGGCAGCCCACAATGGTGTGGAACAGCACCCCATCACCAAGTAAGCCAAAGTCATGCTCAAAGGATGATGTACTGGTGTGCCTGTATTCATCTGATGACCACCTCCAGCAACGCACCTCGCTTCTCCTTCTCGACTACAACGACCGCCTCCTTCAATGCGTCATCCAACTTCGAAGCCTCACTGATCTTCCTGCCATGCAGCCTTCCATTGGACGCAGCGACTGCGATGCCTACATAATCTGGACCATCGTCTTGAAGATCAATACCCAGTCCTGCGTCCGTCACCTGCGCGGCGACACCACCAGGATGAACATCATTGATGCAAGATCTCGTCGCTTTCCAGCCTCCATTGTTCACCACGATGCTCAAGAATGGTGTTTCCAGCTTGTGCTGCGCCCAGTACACCGCACTTGGAACGCCGAAGATAAAGCTGCCGTCCCCTGTACACATGCACACCAGCGGAGCCTGCTCGCCAGGATGGCGTGGCCTCAAGTCCGGCTTGTCGTTCAAGTGATACTTGTCGGCCGCAAGCTTGACGCCGATAGCCGCCCCACCCGCCCACCCCAGGCCACTGCTGCCTTTGCTGAGGTTCGTACCAGGCAGCTCATGTTGTAGCTGCTCAGTAAAAGGCACCTGGTTGGTCACAACATCGTGAACGTACATGGTCTCCCTTGGAAGCACTCTACGTAGGGCTGCGAAGAGGTGGTTGCTACTTATCGAGCCATCTGATCTTGGTGCTGCACGATCTGCCAGGATCTTAAGACCACTAGCATGCGCTTCGCCCAGCTCCGTCCACCTCTGCTCCAAGACGCCTTGCAGTGCTGAGAGCTGCTTGCTTGAACTGATGAAGTCATGGAGCTGCTGCAGGACGATATGACATTCAGCATGGAAGGAGGCCTCGGCGAAGATATCAAAGAGCTGCATCTTTTCCTTGCGTGGGTCGACGTCGATGTGGAATATGCGGGCTGATGAGCTTGGGCGCACTTTCGTTGGAATCCAGGGCACGTCAGCGTCAAGGACGAGTATGACATCTGCATTCTTGATGGCCGGCCCAGCGCCAGTTGCTCGTGCCAGCCACGCTCGATGGCAGGCTGGGAACGACAGCTCACGGGATTCGAAATCGAAGACCGTGAGACCCTTGACAAGGTCTGCCAACTGCACGAGCTTTTGGACTGCCCGACCGTCGCGGCCGAGGTAACCGGTCACGACGAGCGGCTTTTCGGCTGCCAGAAGCGCTTGGCTGATGTCCTGGACTGCATCTTCTGGCAAGCCTCCAAGGCGATACGATGGCCTGGGCTTCGGCGACAGATCAACATCTTGGGCTGATGACGCAAGCGCCTCCCGCGTGCCAGTCAAATACGAGGGACCGCAAGAGCCAGTCGATGCCATGAGCAAAGCACGGTTGACCATCATCCGAACGTGCTCGCCGGACTTGATCTCATTCGTATACCGCGCAAACGGCGCCACAATGGAAGCCTGGTTCGGAACATCCTGATACCATTGCACATGCTCCGACCTTGAGCCTGGAAGTTCGCCATAGAGTGTATAGGGTGCTTGGCCTGCAAAGATGAGGATTGGAGCTTTACCGCTGGAAGCTGTGTGCAATGCCTGGCCGAGCGCTGAAGTTCCGACGTCTACGTGTACGATCACACACTGCGCTTTCCTCGTTACCCGTGCGTAGCCGTCAGCTGCCGAGATCGCCACCATCTGTTGGCTCCCGTGAGCAAGGGGACAACAAGTGGCGCTGCGAAATCACCTACCTCATGCTGGAAAAGCAGCATCTTTGGCTTGCACTTGCCATCTTGCTGTCTTCTTATGTACGCTTCGATGATGCTCGGGTGGTCAGACCCCAGCACTGTGAACATGTAATCCACGTCGGCCTGGTGAGAAGTAAGCGAAGCTCAACATCACTTGCCATTGTGGTTGTACCTCTTCAAGAGCTTGCAAGAAAACATCTGCAACTGTGTAGCTATGCTTCTTGGCCGATTCGCCATTGGCAGTTGGTATAATTGATGCCATCACCTGAGTATGGACGAATGTTCACGTTTGCGGCTGCTGAACGAGATGAAGAGGCTCCACGCCACACATCTTACCTGTGTGCTTTCACTGGGGTGAGCCTGGCACCGGCTCACTTCGCCTGAGGTGTCTGCCGGTTTGGTGAAGGAAGCGGACTCTAGCCCCACAATTGCACACCGCATGCATTGCAAGTTCGCGCGACACTAAATGCAGTGACTGATCGACAGCGCGGCGGGTAGCGTGACGGCTGACAGGGGGACTGCGCCTTGAGGCTTGAGGCTTGAGGACGACGGATAACGAAGGCCAAATCGGTATAGGGCTAATGACAGGCTCCCGTATTACTGTGGGCGGTTCGTTTCAAAGCGCCTAGTCTAATCTTCTAGCCCGCAACGCCGTCGCGAACTCTATGTACAACTCATAGGATGTTCCGCCCTGCAGACCACGCGGGTGTGGCGAGATCCCCAGCAATGTATTCGTCGTCTCTCAAGGCACCTGATGGTTATTCAATACTCGGTATTGATCTCTATGTCACGCTGGACAGTAATACCCCGTCCAGGCTTCAGTATCCTGTCTTGACTCTCCCGGCCTTCGCTCTCCTCCCTTCCTTGCGTTGTGATGCACACCATGTCATCATCTGTAACCCTATGCGCTTTGTTGAACGTGCCACTGCCGCCTTTGCTTGTGAACTTCTGCATCTTGAAAGTGCTGGCGGTGCGCGAGCGACTGCCCGATGAGCCTGCGATGCCGCTAGGAAGCAGACGGGCAAGCGGCGCCTTTAGGCTGGGTAAGCACGTTGCTATCAGGCCTACGGACGCTTCGACGTGGCTCCAGATGAAGGCTGGTGCAGAGTCCCAAGTAGTATCTGTGTTGCTGACGCTCTTCACGAGGGCCTTCATACGGAGAGCGGAAGTTGCTACGATGACTGCAGCGTCGAAAGTTAGCATACTTGTGTAAAGACAGTGGTGGAGTTGTTCTTGCTAGAGCTGCATACATCTGTATATCCGTATCAGTACATCGAGTTTCCGTACAAGGCCTCCTGGGTGCTGGTGGGACGGACAAACCAAGGCAGAATATAACCATTGCACCCATGCGTTTTAATACTGACATCTGGAGCCCCCACAGTATGGGCAGTGGTAGGAGACAGACCCACAGATCCGTGAGAGTATTGAAAGCTGCCCAGGACCACCGGAAAGCGCTGTTGTTGATACAGTGACCGGGCAGCTGCCGGTCCCAATTCTTCTGAATGGGGATACATTCAGTGATAGTTGCAACGACAAATGCGACAGTACCAGCCAATACAACGCCGATCGAAGCGTAACATATCCGTCGTGTGCTTGTCTTTGGGAAAAGCCTGAGGTAAAGCGTTAAGAAGGATAGCTTGTTGAAGCATATCACCACCTTGTAGAAGATCTGGAAGAGGAAGAAGCACTGGTAGTTATGTCAACTCATGGCCAAAACCAGACATGCACAAGGAGAACACTGACCAACAGCGCCTGCTGGACGTCGCCGCCCGCTTTGGCCACATCCTTCTTGTGAAAACCAAAGCCTTCTGTGCAAGCACGACAACCGATGGCCGTGATGACGGTCAAAAAGACCTATAGCTATCAGCGAGGCCGAAGTGCTTCGAATGACACGCACGCTCACCATCGAAGCTACAGTACAGCCATCTTCAATGCCGAGCCATCCGCGTCGCTCGTACGTCTGCCAGAGCCTGAATATGACCAGGCCTGCCGCTACAGCACACATGGTTACCGACGTGCGTATGAACAGCGGTCCCTGAGTCGGGACCCCGCTAGAGAAGTCGACTGTCATGTCTGTGAATCAGGTTGTCGTTGAAACGTCGAGCAATACTGGAGAAAAGGCTGCTAAAGGCCGCGCTGTTCCGTGAGCTCAGCGGCATGGTCGAGAATGCGATGAGGACACAGAACTTAGAAGAG